GACCCAGGTTCGCTTCTTTCATCCGAGTAGTTTTTTCTTTAGCTATTGCCTGTTTTTGGCGTGTATCTAGTATTTTTCGTGTTGAAAGATAAAAAACAATCTGGTTTTATTAACATTGTTGGCTTTGCGCCGAGAACCACTGTCTGTGAGCTGGTGAGTACCGTGTCAGAGCCGAGGATATGTAGCATCTGAGTTCATGTGAGGCGGCCGCACGTACGAAAATAATCAATTGGATGCCGAGTTGGCTTTTCTGAAGAACTTGGGTTGTTTATCGTGTGTATTAATTTAAACAGGTTAAACTGGTTGAGAAGTCCACCAGCATGACCAGCATGCCAAACTGGGCATGCTGGGGCAATAACCCAGCATGAAGCTGGGACCAGATCAACCATCATGACCAGCATGCCAAACTGGGCATGCTGGGGCAATAACCCAGCTTGAACCTGGGACCAGATCAACCAACATGACCAGCATGCCAAGCTGGGCATGCAGGGACAATAACCCAGCTTGAAGCTAGGACCAGCTTAAGCTGGTTTTTTCAATAGGGCGTGACCAGCGCATTGCATTATGGGACATTTCCCATAATAACGTCACAAGGGTCCCGCGCGTTCCATTATAGAAAAAGCCCATGATGCAACGCGCGGGTCACTTGTGATCTGCGCGTTGCATCGTGGCGGCGGAACTTGCTTTTGATGAGTTGGGCATTTTTACTGCGGCACTGCGCTTCCGTAAAAATTTCCACGTGTTCTCAACGGCAAGTCTCACGGCTTACATAGGGTTTTGAAGAGCTTCTTCAACGAATGACTACGAACGAGTAGAAAACGTGTCTTCAGCATGCTGCCGCCAGCCTCCGCAACGCTCCAAAAACGCGATTTTTCAACATGCAAGATGGGTGACCGGTGGCTTCACTCTCGCGCTGCAGCTGCTGCGACCAAACGGGGATGCGCGATCCAGCCCTTTCCCCAGGCAGATGCCGAGCGCTCCGCGCTAGCGGTCGTTGAGCGGTCGGCCTCAGTGAGCGATCCACCACAGCGGCATGCGCTGCCACCGCTTTCATAGCGTCTGCCCTCGCTTTTTAACAGTTTCGGTTCCCACTGTTATCTTGCTGAAAGTATGAAGTTTAGATCGGAACTTAATGCTTTGACAAAAATGTTGATTATTACTACTTGATTAACGGTGACCCCGACGTTGAGACACTATTTATTTTTCCTTGCAGTTATATAAACCCGATGAAGACAAGTACTTTTTGCACGAGCCGTAGGAAGCACTAGACCCTTTGCAAAAATCCCAAAAGTCCGCGCGCCGGCGCGCGACAAATAATGGGAGTCCTTGGTATGCCCCTCCTCCCGCTACCACGTGGCATACGCGAGCAGACACAGGTTACCACGGCAACAGAGCAGCCGAGTTGGGCGAACGACGAGCCGACGGCTGTCCCTATCTCATCCCTCTCCAATTTGTACCCGTTCTGTCGTCTGCTGCACCAACGCTTCGTCGAACGCGGTCGAAACCTGACACGGTTGCGGTGCAAACTAAATGGATTCGGTGACACTTCAATACGTGAAGGTAAGTTACGACAAATGACGTATTGAAATGAGTTCACCTGTCGCGATGCCTTTGCGCTGCCACAGATACGGTACGCCGGCAACGACGTACGACTCGGCGGATGGCTGCGACGGCTACTGGCGGTAGCTGGCGGGACGCGCGCGCAGTCGCGGAGGCGCAACAAGAAAGCGCGTGGGCGTGATCTGTACCAAGGGTTCCCGAATTCCCTTCCGTCGTGGCGCGGTACGTTTTGCAAAGGGTCTATAAAGCAATGCCAGACACGTATGCCGTAAAGCGACTGTCATCTCCGAAGGCGAGTTCCATCTGCGGAGCATTTTGCGTATTGTCTTCTAGCAAACGACATACCTAGCTCTTCATCCGAATAGGCGCACACAACATCTTCGACGTAACGCCATATCTTGGGCCTCTTCGCTGGCAAGGCGAATGAGTCGGCAAAGACTTTGCCGAGAACGGCTGCCTCGACGTCACTCGAGCAGTAGCTAAGGTGGTATCTTCGTCGCTGTTGCTGATTTCGTTGCTACTGCGTTTTATTAGACCTCCTGAAATTACCTGCAACTATGTCATCGCCGCAGTATGCTCGGGCCAGTCGGTCATGACAGTAAGAACGAAAGCAAGTGCAGCAAGAGAGCCCACCCAGCAATCGAAACAAAAAAGCAGCGAAACTCCTTCATTCCCCCGCGGCAACGTTGATAACGAAACTGAAACGCTGTGAGTGACCACAGATCGTACTCCCCCGAAAAAGGCTGCGCGGAGAACTACTCCGGGTCCGAGCGGTCTGTCCAAGGAAGACACAGTTTGGGCGGCGCATTCGTTTCTTACATATTTTTGCATGATTACAATCGAAACATCACGTGTACCCTGTTTTCAACCAGAAAGGGTTACTACATTTAACTTTTACGCGCTTACTAAAACCAGATCTGCCTCTCGCTACCACTGCCTAGGGGACTCTATGGACTACTTTCATAAACCCCTGCATGCAACACGGCGCGCGTTGCACTCTTGGATCTAGTTGGCCAGGGAGGAGAGCGGCATGGTTTCGGTTTCAATCGACACGTCGACATGAGATTATACAGAGCGTCCACTATTAACGGCCGTGATCTCATATTTTCGGGTCCCGAGAGCATCATTTTTGGTCTCTAAACTAACCTAAATTGCCAGACCCCTAGGCTTTAGCACAAGCCCGAGACGTATAGCTTGTCTTCACACGTGCTTGTTGTATTTTTGTACACGATCGAGCCTTTCTGCTAGCGTTTCGAGATATATGTGAACGAGTCAGTGCTGGGAATCTCGACGCTGCGTATCTCGGGTATCTTGCCTCTGTACGAGACAACAAGCTCTAACGACCAATAAGTTTGCATACATCGAGCTCGCACCTTTAGAGCTGCTCAGGAAGTTTGTTTGTGTTGCGCGTCCATAGACGAAATATAATTTTTTGCAACTACTGCTTTCCCTAATACGCCCGAGTACGTGAGGTGAAACTCGGAGGCGCCATTGAAAAGCTCAATTTGAACACACTTCTTATCTCTTATCTGTACTGACCCGCAGCACTGCACAAACTTAAGTCCCCACCCGCTTGCATTCCACTAATACCTCAACATCGCGTATGCACTTAAAGTTATTCTGCAATCATATAGGCACATTCCCACATACAAAACCGTTTCAAGAAAGCAAGAGTCGAGCAATTGTGTGAAGAATGTAGCACTTTTTGCCGGAAGTGCGCCGGACGGGCGTGAACCTTTATGCGATGTGCCAAACGAACGAAATTATTCAAAGTGCATTTGACGGTTGCTAATGGCCGTAATATTTATGTGTTTGTTTTCTTTCTGACTAAGTAAGCCGAGATAATTTCAGACACACCGTTCACACTCAGATCTTGGGCGTCAGTAAAAGCTCGTCTAAAAAGGCTTAGCGAAGAGTAGGAGGCGCTTGTTAGATTCTCCGTCGTAGCTTGCCGACCTCAGCGTTTGCGAAACCCTAATTTCCTTTCAGCGTAAAATTCGAGTGGGCGATATATGATGACACGAGGAAAACATCATAGTAATTTTTGTGCAGTAGTGAGGTCGAATTTATTTTGTTTCCTTAAACGTTCATGCGTCAACGCTGGGCTCAACTTTGGTACTCCGTCTTCGAACAATAGGGAGCCCCAATGTTTGAAGACCGGTTGCAAATGCTTTGGATTTAATGTATTTAAAGATACAAAAGTGCTAGCAAACGCAAGAGTATTTAGGACAGGTACAAGTCCGGACTCTATCTCTTGAAATGTAGCCCTATATGTATTGTCCCCACCATTCACGTTCTCGCCTCAAACAGTGAAGAGCCTCCCCATGAAACTTGCTATGTTACGATATGTTACTTAGTAGTAACGTGCAATATATTGTTGGTTATGAAAACTAAGCAGCACAGCGTAATATAAAATTGCTATTTATTTTTTTACTGTCATTTCTTGATTATAAAGGTTTCTACTAAGACGTCTCCGAAGAAATTTATATTCAGGACGGAGGGACTGTTTAATTGTTGCTGTCATCTATGTTTAATCTGAACAAAACGAGGACCCGCATGTTCAATATGGCTGCTTAAAAACTGGGTTTCGCGTGCAGCATTTTTTAACTCGCATCAATATTTACACTTCTGCGTAACCACAGGTTATCATTTTCTAATATAGACTAATTATTGGCGTATTCGTACATTTAACTTGTTCTTTGAACATTTTGCGAGAAGTCATGCATGTTCACGTTCACAATTCACCTAGGTGCCTCTTGAATTGAATAAATACACCTGATCTTATTAGACAATTCAGTCCAAGGTTAATGTCGTTGCATATTTATTTAATAAATCTACATATTTATTAGGCATCATTTTCTGTTTCTTAGTAGCACTTGGGGAGCAAACCCAAACTCAAGATAATGCCCACGTTGTTATACCAGATATTCTTAACAAAGCCCCTAAGAACTTCCCCAAAAAAGCAAGGATTTGGCATCCTTTGTAAAAGTAACCTAAAGACCGATGTGCTACTGAAAAAAAGAAAATTGACAAAAAGTAATCTTTTTTTTTTTTTTTTTTACAGCCGCATGATAATAAACTTTGATCTACGAAAGCTTAAATGAGAACACTCCAACAAACGCTGCATTTGTACTCATAATACGTGATCGTGCACTTCGAACTTTGAAAAAAGAAAGGAATTCAGGTAAATAGTGCTAATAAATAAAAGAATAGCTTCCAGCCTATTTAAAATGTTTCTAAATGGCAGCGAAAATTGTACAAACAAGTCAAATTTGTGATAAATCCGTAAGGCATTGGAACTACTCGGTATATCAAGGGTCTTTAAAGGATGAATCATATTAAAGTCAAGTTTCTTCAATATAATTTAGAAATGAGCGTATGTTAGATGACGCCGGCAGGTAGGGCCCACTGAAGCACGAAAGTGATAGAATATAAAATGTTTACCAGAGAAATCCACGCATTTGGTCCAAGGAGCAGGAGGACCACTGTCCCATCCGCTTGCCGTATGCAACCGGCGCCATTGTGACGCCATCTTTTGGGTTGCATACAAGATGTTTGTTTCCAGGAGTGCCATATTGTGCTTTGTCCCCGTCATGCACCATACCAAGCCTATTGAGAAAAATTATGCAAACTTTCTAGGCAATTGTGTTTTGTAAGTGAAACCTTTTAGCATCACAAAGGTTTAGCGACACTTTGAGTTTTTACACGCCCAGGTTCATGGCGCTCTCTATCAGATCGTTTAACGGGTATCATATATACACTTGATTGTTGTTCCTAGAATGAAGTGACACCAGCGCTCTTGGGGCTGATAAACTTGGCGATCTTCCAGAGCCTTCCATACTCTAGAGCTCCTTTCCATCAGTGCTCACAGGTGGTCGAGCTCCCCCCCCCCCCCCCCCCCTCCGCTTAGCTCATTCCTCCACGCCTACCCTTTTGGTCACGTGACCTGCCCGTTAACCAACTCGCTTCGAGCACCTCACCCTCGTCTCCAACCCGTCAATCAATCAGTGTCGATCCTCGCGGCCACGCTTTTACCTATTCAGACTTCACGAAATGCCGAACCCCTTGCCAAAAAACGTTTTACGATAAAATTAAATTTAGGATATCTGCTAGTGACATGCTCGTGAAATGAAATCATGATCCAGGCACCATGTTTATATTCATGTGGCGTAATAGTGTTAGAGTTGCATGCAAATACCGGGTGTTTGAATCGAACAGATTAACAAAATCGTAAAACGTGAACTAATGCACTTTGCGAAGGTGAACTGCACGGCCAAGGGGACATAATATGAACAGCCAAATATTCAACTAAGTGTTATTGATTACTTTTTTTAATTTGTGAAAATAAACATATGGTTTTAAATAAAAACCAGGTGATTAAAACTACTAAATAAATATTAAAAAACAACAAAAAAATCTTGGAGTAGGTGGTAGGCGTGGGGTACGTTAAAGTTACCACTTGCACAACAGTGCAAGTGGTAACGCAGTGGCGCCAAAAACGCGGATGATGAGAAACGGAAGAACCGCTGGAGTGCGTCAAATTTGGACGCCCATTCAGGGATCAAGAAACACTAAAAACGCGTCTATAGCGTTGTGTTAAAATTTGATGTCTATATTTCAATTAAGGTAATTGAATACAAGTCACCGACATTACCAACGATTGAATATGGTAGTACAGTTTGTGATCCAGTCACGCGAAATGACGTTTACAGAATGGAAGGATAAAATGTAACTTGTAAACCCTGGCGCAAGACGAAAACGCGCCACGGGCCATTTGAAGGCGAGTACTCACGAGTGCCCGAATTCGTGCGACAAAATAGGGACCATGCTGTGTGTATGCGGCACGTCTTCTGATTCGGCAACACGCAGATGAGCCTCGCACACTCCCCCGAGGTGGGCAAAGCCTGCAGGTAACACATTCGACATTTAAAGTTTTGGATACTAAGCACACTCTCTTATATCACGAATGTGAAAGGCAAGCAGCTTTAACACGGGGTATTCTTTTACGTTAAAAATATTAAACACGAAATATAAAAAATACAACAAAAACGCGTTCATTTTTGAGACATGAACCTCATATATAAGATTGCGTGACTTTTCAAGTTAATCTTCTAGCAAGATACGTAAAGACATAAGGAATTCCTTGCGTCCTTTCAAACGCTCTGCTGGTGCACATGAATAGACGCCGAGGGACGCCGAGAGACGCTAGTTTACTTTCGTGGATCGTGCATGATTGGAAGTTAGGACGACGATTCCCGTCAGCTAATCATGTCGTTTAACACCTCAAACTCGGGTGCAAAAGATGTAAACAACAAAGGATATCTCTGCGTAGAAGGTAGTTGACAATGATGGTATTGTGGGTTTGACCGCTTGGTCTCTTGTGAATCTGTATGTCCTTTGTATTTGAAAATGATATCAACAAAGAAGATCTCTGCGTAGAATGTGGCTGAGAGTGACTCTCAGGGTATATATACACACTAAACATTATAACACCCATAATCGTGTAAAAAGGGTGTAAGTTAGGAAAAACACCCTTCTTACACTTCATTTACACGATATTTGAATATCGGTGGGTGTAAAAAGGGTGTGCTGATGTTTTTCATCCCTTCCACACCCTTTTTACGACCTCGCTTATTGCGATGGCGTCTGAAATCGTGTAAAAAGGGTGTATGGGCGAATTATACGCCCTGTATTAACACGGTGTGAAAGGGGCGTTATGGTGATGCCAGTCTAATACACCCATGATTTCATATCCGTTAATGCTTATTGCTTTGCTGAAACTGTTGCTGATGTACGGCGGTATAAACATCCAGTATAATTAATCGCTACACGAAGTCGCGTATGGTTAGGAAGTGATGGAGTATAGTTTTTGCAACTCCGATCGAACTCTTCATCCGAGAGGAGCCGAAAATTACGTGTCGCGTGTGCGTCAGTTTCATCAGTTCAACTTCGACTTAAAAACAAAACATCTCCACTCGCAAAAGATGAACGAAGACGTGTCAATATACAACCCAAACAGCACACAGCATTGCGCCGATATAGGATCAAATATGAAAAATTGCGCCGTTACCATTTTGGTCCAGCCAATATCTGTGAAAAAAAGGATGGGTCGCGGCGACGCCATCCTGACATACCGTAGGCGATGCCGTTTTTGGTTGAGCGTCAAGATTCCCGCATGAATGGCCTATGCCGGCGAGGTATGTCTATTTCTTAACCGCCTAAAATCCGACGTTAAAAAAGAAAAGAAAAACAAGATGAAGCAAAACGGAATCTGCTTACTTTTAACCAAAGAAAGACCTCCTGCGCTGAACCACTGAACAAACTATGGGCCGTGGCGCCCTCATTTCGTGTATTACAAACTCACCTGACTGGCCCTCGCACTACTTATAGCACCTTCACTGAGATTTTATTTTTGTGTGTAGTTCTAACGAAACAATTCCGCAAGACAATCAAAAGTGCCGAATTTATGACACCCCGGCTATAGTACGCGATCCTTAGTTGACACCAAAATATCTAGCCTCCCGACGCTTTTTTTTTTCCTTTTTTTTTCTTTTTTCGTACGGGTGAAATTGCATCTCTTGTTTCATGCGTTCGAATTTGTTTTGTGTTATTTATTTCGTGATTTCGCGGTCGGCATCAGAGCACGCACGCCACTGCGTGAAGCAAGTCCTGACGTGTCCCATTTTGCGACCCTCCTTGGGCAGCCCAGGTGGCTTATACAAAGCCGCAGATGGAGATTAGCTGCTTTGTCCACCCCTCTTTGACCTCGTCTTCTGATAAGCCTCCACACCTTCTTTTGTGTCTTCGTGTGGCTGTGAGCGAGTGCGAAGGCCGCTTCTAGCAAATCAGAGGGGTGGTGTGTAACACGTGACCGTTCTCCGTGGGACAGGGACGCTTGGACTATAATATGTCACGTGACTCGCTCCGACGCGCTGATGGGCTCACTGGGGCCGAAGTCTTTGCCGTATTCCAAATTACGGTGAGTGTAGGGGCCACGTAGGTCCGGTTTCTAAAAAGCTTCCGTCAGGCGTCAGTGTTCTTCTGTTTTTCGTGCGTTGCAGTCGCAGCCATGGTTTTTCGTCTTGAACGGCCGGAATACGTTCATACTAATTTTTTGGTAATATTTGTGAATTTCGTCGGAGTCCATAGAATTATTGTGCTGTGTTTGTTGGACGCGTTTCGACAAAGAACTAACTGCTCGTCGGCGCTCGTGAGACTTCCGCTGATTGTGATCGACCGCCTTCATCCTCGACATTGTGTTTGCGTAGTTTTGTGCTGCCCTAGTCGGATTGTGCATCTATCACGACAGAGAGCTGCTCATCGGCGACGGCGAGAGTTCCGTTGAATGTGAGCAACCGCCTTCATCCTGGACGTTGTGTTTGCGAATTTTTCTGTGGTGCCCGAACCGGATTATGCAACTATCACGGATTACATGAGATCGGTGTTTTATTTGTAAGTACTCTGCAAGCATGCTTCTGGTAGTAGTCCTGCTTCCGTCTCAATAGACCATTTTACTGTTTACAAGCATGAACTGCTGCTTACGCCTCAATCAACTCCCGGTCGTTCCGTCTCTGCCAGCCTGTCGAGTTTTGCCAACGTCAGCAGAGCTAGAAAGCTTTAAAGTAGGTTTAGGCGAAGGAAAGCCTTATTTAAAGTTTGAGTGCATTTATTTTAAGCCTCTAAGAATTTTGTAGCTTTGTCACAAAAACTTAACACTAGGTCACAAATGCCAGCATTTGAGGTTTGAGATGGGTTTCTCGCGAATTCGCGAAAGAAGATGAGGTCCATGCACGTTTTTTTCTGGATTCAAAAAATAAAGTGTTCCACATGTTTCAATTTGTTAGCAATCATTTCTTCGTAAATACTTTTTGATGAAGTGCTGTGTTACACATTTAGTATAACTTCTTGTAGCTGAATGAAGTGAGAGTTACTGCGCAGGCGAGCTGGTGAAGGATCATGGTGAAAAAAACCCAAGACTAGGACAAAAAATCGGGACAACACAACACGTCTCAAGACATTTTGAGACAGTATTGTGTTTTCCCAATTTTTTTGTCACTAGTCTCGGGGTTTACCCACCATGCTCTTCTAGCTGCAGTACACGTTTTTGGTAGGGTGTACTGCTGCCATCACACCCTAATAAATAAGTGTAGAGCAGAATCACTCCTTTCTGTGTAGGGTGTAAGGGATTACACCGGTTTTTGAGGGTGTGAGAAATAACACCATTTTTCTAGGGCGTTTTTGTTCACCAATAAGGGGGTGAGTTGTGACCCATGCCATTTACACCAATAAGGGCGTGAAAATGTTTAGTGTGTAGGATGCCTTATTAATAAACCAGATAGCTGAATTTGGGACGTTCCCTTTTGTGTCTCTTCCTTCGACTAAAATGTTTTTCCTTTTCTGTTCCACAGCCTGGTGTGTCTAGCGTCCTATGCTGGCCATACGTCAAAAGTGGTCCTTTCGTAGCAACAAATGACGTCACAGAAGCCGAAGTGTCATGGTGTTGCATGTCGTGATCCTGGCGGTTGGTCATAGACATGTTAACGAGAAGCTGCGAGTAACACAACCGAACGCAAGTGCCGCTGTCGTCATGGCGTCCCAACTTCTGGCTGCGAAAGCTTCCGCCTACTGACACACTGGGGAGCCCGACATTCAGCAGAATAGGTGTCGGCCACTTACACCACAGCTGTTGGGACTCCGCCAGGATCACGACCGGCGACAGCATGACACTTCTATGACGTTATCAGGCGGAAACCGAGGGACCGCTTTTTCTGACGTGGTAAACACACCAGTCGAAGACGCGTACCAGGCACTTTAATTAAATGGTCACGTATCCCGGATGGTACCAGAGGCATGCACCTCTTTTGTGGTGGAGTCTGGTGGACTGTAGCGCCCCTGGCCGAGAAGAATAGGCCTATAAAAGCCTATATGTTTAAAACTCATAAAACTCATTGATATGCCTCCTGAAGTGTAGCTATATACGGTGTATAGATTGCCATTAAGACTGCAGATGCATTGTCTATTTACGACGGATGAGCCACACGATAGATCGTAGAAATTGATCAGACTTCACGCTATAGAGAGATTGCAGAGTTGAAAAAAAAACATATACCTGACGACAAAATGAGGCACCAAGTCACACCAGCGGCGATGACGCGCGAGACGCCAGAGTGACTTCGGTTTTCGTGCATCAGTCTCAACTTTTTATTGATAATTTCCGCACCTCGATTTTTCTAGCAATAAGAAACGCGGTAATTATCACGATTCGCGGAATATTGCCGCGCGCGCAGCTGGACAAGCAGGCAGCGCGCGCGTGGCCTAACGGTTATCGCGCTTGCTTCCCACGCAGAAGGCCAGGGTTCGATTCCTGGCCGCGACTACACATTTTTGTTGACAGTGTAATTTGATGTTCTAGTGAATGCAAGAACCGTCTTGCTGATTCGAGGTTAGAATGTTCTACACACCGAACCTTCTACGCCGAACGATCCAGAAACCCACGAGGGTACATAAGGGATTCCGCAAGGCGAGCGGAGTCAGTCTCGCCCCAGCGTTCGACTCTGCTGCCACGCCGACTTCGACGCCCGCGACGCTCTATTATTATCTTTTGCACTCCTTTATTTTTTTTTTCTCGAGGGGAGATACATAAGGGATTCCGCAAGGCGAGCGGAGTCAGTCTCGCCCCAGCGTTCGACTCTGCTGCCACGCCGACTTCGACGCCCGCGACGCTCTATTATTATCTTTTGTACTCCTTTATTTTTGGCACAAGTTCGCCACATTAAACGTTTATTTCTTCCTGTTTATTTGTTATTTTTGGTCACCACCCGTGAAATTTTGGTGGAGGTGCGGGGTAGCGCATGCCCGTGCAGCGTTCCCCTCCCAGGGCCCGCAGTGCAAGCCCCATTACGAG